TGTCCTGAAAGAGACAAGGGGTGGCCCTTTAAACTATCATCACAGCCAGGTCTTGGCTTGAGGCTACTCTTCCTCTCCTCCCTGGGAAGGGTCATATCCTTGGGCCACACAGTCCTCCACGCAGAGGGAAATTCCTAGTGAGTGGGAGTGTGAGAAGCAGCTGATATCCCATCCCTGTAGAACAGTGGTCCCCAACCTTTTTGGGGCCAGGGACCAGTTTCATGGAAGAAAACTTTTCCACGGACCGGTAGAGGGGATGGTTTCAGGATGATTCAAGAACATTACATTTATTGTGCATTCAAACCTCTCTGCTAATGACAATCTGTATTTGCAGCTGCTCCCCAGTGCTAGCATCACTGCCTCAGCTCCACCTCAGATCATCAGGTGTTAGGTTCTAATAAGGAAGGCACCGCAGCCTAGATCCCTGGCTTGCGCGGTTTACAGCAGGGTTCACGCTCCTATGAGAATCTAATGCCGCCACTGACCTGACAGGAGGTGGAGCTTATGCAGTGATGCGAATGATGGGGAGCGGCTGTAAATACAGATGAAGCTTCACTTGCTAGCCTGCTGCTCACCTCCTGCTGTGCGGCCCGGTTCCTAATAGGCCATGGACCAGTACTGGTCCTTGGCCCAGGGGTTGGGGACCGCAGCTATGGAGGGTCTTGCCAAAGACTGTGCTAAGCATTCCAGAACCAAACATAGAATTTCTGCCCACATGGGGCTTCGGGGCGATATTTGGTCTATATTTACTTATTTGATCTCTCCAGCCAGCTCCACCGCCTTCCTTGGGCCAGAGCCTTCTCATTAGAAGAGCTCACTGGTGCTTAATCAGAGTCTATCAAATTTCATTACCAGTAATGTACCCAGGTCCCTTTCTTTGTCACTCTAAAATATCATCACCTGTTCATTCAAAAGATGTCAGTCTCTTTGTGGGCTAAATCTGCACACAATTATTTTTGCAGACTTAAAAGAGAAAAAGGAAGCAGGCCTGTGGGAATGGAACCTAATTAAAAACCATCCCACACAGCGGTCGTGGTGGAGGTTGGCTGGGACCAGGCCTGGTCAGGGGCCAGCCTCACAGCATCCGTCAGAATTTCTGCCCAAGAGCAGAAAACTAGTGAAGGTGCTGCTGGGCTCTCCCAGGGACCTGCAGCAGGATGGTCATTTTGACGTCTTCCTGGGAAACTTTGCCACCAGGTGTAAATCTAGCCCGAGCTCTGCACCTGCCAAATTCTCTAGGCTGAACCGAGCTATTGTTCACGCTCCAAGTCCTGACTATCAGATTTAGTTTGATTTGCGATGGGGCACATAAAGACCACTTGTAGTTAAAGAGAGCTTTTGACTGACCCCTGGCAGCCCCAGGGCAGAGACACAAGCCCATGTTCTCCTCTGTTGTCCTGCAAGAGGTGTGCCTACCATGGCTTTGGTTACCACTACGAATCGCGGTAAGAATCGCGAGTGTCCCTGTTACTGCATTTTACGGTGCAGAGCAGTTTTACTTTCATTTTTCCACTGGTGTCCGCAACAGATCTGTGAAATGGAGACCTACGTGATTTCGAGGAATTTGTTCAGCCTCTCTGGGCCTCAGTTTCCCCATCGACAAAATGATAATAGAACCTCTTAAATTCTTGTGAGGATTAAATCATGTAATATCTGTGAAGCGCTTAAAATTTCTTTTGTTTATTTTTATTTTTTAAAATAAAGCAGTTATGTTAGAGCCCTTAAAGTTTCCGAAATTATTGATAGGTATTTTTAGTCTCATTTTACAGGAGAAGCAGCTGAGATTCAGAGGGGCTAAGTTTATGGACAAGATACCTGGGTATCAAGGAAGGAAAACACTGCAGGACTGTGACACAAATGAAGCTACACTTTCCGAAGCCAGATTTTCTTTCTTTTTTCTTTTTCTTATTTTTTGAGACAGAATCTCACTCTGTTGCCCCAGCTAGAGTGCCATGGCATCATCGCAGCTCACTGCAACCTCAAACTCCTGGGCTCAAGCCTCCTGAGTAGCTGGGACTGCAAGCGTGCACCACCATGCCTGGCTAATTTTTCTATTTTTAGTAAAGATAAAGTCTCGCTCTTGCTCAGGCTGGTTTTGAACTCCTGAGCTCAAGCAATCCCCCCCGCCTCGGCCTCCCAGAGTGCTAGGATTACAGGCGTGAGCCACTGTGCCTGGCCTGGAGCTGGATTTTTATTATGAACAATATATATGCCTTTTAAACTTGGGAGCAGAGGGAATACTGACTCTGGGAAAGAAAAAAAAAAAAAAAGATGAAGAGATAGTGTTGCCAAAGAAAGAAATTAAAAAAAAAAAAAGAAAGCTTTGCACTTGTCCAAAAACACCAGAAAGGGACCACACTCAAAGATAGTGAGGTTTGAAAGAGATTCCTTTGAGGCCTCCACTGAGGGCTTCCAAAGGCACCGCAGTTGGGGTTTTGCACCCAATGGCCTCACCTCATTGTGGTCATTGCATCCCCGAACAGGAGTTCAACCGCAAGACCCCTCATGCACAGACGAAGGTGTGGCCGTGGCGCCTCAGGCCCCCTGGTCTCCTTGGGAATGAAGGTCACTGCTGTTCTCATCATCTTCATCTCCTGCTGTAAGTAGTGAGCCACGGGGACGGCACCAAGGTTCTGTCCTCCTGTCTGTGTCACTGGGGACCCCTCCTGGGGAGGCATCGGGTGAGAGAAAGCCACGGGCCACTGAGAAGAGAATCAGGAGTGGAACAGGGTTCTCTTGCTTCCGTCTCTGCTGTGAAATGGCCTGATGCCAGCGTTGGGATTGCATAAAACTTCCAGAAAATCAAAGGTTCCTAACCCTTTACTAAACAGAGTGTTTGACTGTTTTACCACCCCCAGCCCCAGGAGTCTTTTTTCCTTTAAATGTTAGTTGCCATTATTTAAAATCATGTGGATTCCAGAACAAAAATGCAAGCGTATATTCGGCTAATCTAGAAATGATTATTGCCTATCAGAAAGACATTCTTAGGGTGACTTATGGAATAGGTGGTAATTATAAGTCATTGCTACCAGGAGATTAGGTGGCACACCTCTGCACAGTGGGAAAGGGCCTCCTGGGGAACAGGTTAGGAACTGTTAGAAGACTCATAGATGGACTCTCTTGCTCAAGTAGTCGAGTAGAGATTGTCCAAATCCATTTTCCTATCTGTTCCAGCTGTGTCGCAGTAACTTTTGGGTCCCTAAGTCAAAAATGTTAAAGATGGCCTTCTCTTTTCCCCTTAGTCAGTGGTGGAATTTAGTTTTCAGTATCATGGTGTAAGGGGTGCCCATATGCAGGAAGGACCCTTTCTGCAGCCACCAATGTGTCCTGAAGATCATCCCCCTGTGTGGCTCCACCCTCTCTCCAGGAACTGCTGTGGCAGCAGGGACCACCCTGGGCTTCAGCCCTCACCCCAGCCCCTGTCAGCCTGTCATGACAATAAGGTGTCTAAACACAGCAGTGAGATGGGATGGTGCCCGAGAGAATTCCCCCAAACTCTCTATCTCTGTTTTTTCGTCTTCAAGTGTATGTTTTTATTATATTTTTTATTGCAAAACTACTCTATGCTTATAATTCAAAAGTAAAACAAACGAGTATATAATAACAAGGTAAAGCCCCTTCTCAACCTTCCCAGACCCCAATCTTTTTCGTACATCCAGAGGTAGCCATTCTTAAGAGTTTGCTATACACCCTCCTATACAGCCTTTACACACACATTTAAAACATTGTAATAAAAAAGTATAATAATACACATGCTGATTGTGAAAAATATATATCAGACAGCACGGAAGTATATAACATAAACTCTGCCTGTTTCTTTCTCCATCTACCTCCTCAATGCCATTGCCTGGAGATATTGCTATTAAATATATTATATTTTCAAGACACATAATTTTGTTGTTATCCCCCTATCGGTGGCCATGTGGGTGGTTTCCAATTTTCTGATATCACAAGTAATGCTGCAG